ATTTGTGTGTCCTTGCAGCAGCAGTTTTTAGAGGCCGGGGTACCAAGTATCAAGCTTCACATGTGAGCACAGGGTTTTGCATCTCTCCGCAACATTTCGGTTGGGCGTCTCCCTCTTGGAATGGGGTGGGGGAAAGGGGGGAATGCTATCTTGCAGCTTCTGAGGCGGCCTGTGCTCTTGAAACTTCAAGCTGGCGAGCTTTAATCTGGAGAGCCATCCATTTTGAGATGACACCCTTCATCCTCCTTCAACCCTAGCTACCTCAACATTTGAAGCTTCCTGTACAAGAGCACTTCTTGCTATTGCTTGTAGCTTCATTTGGTGGAGGGGAACAAGTTGACAGTACACACACACAGCATCCCTGCATAGACTGCTTTCTCCCAACCAGATATCAGTATTGCAGGGTGTTGAATCATGTCAGACCATCGAGGAGCAGCTTGCTTCTCAGGTCTTGGAGCCTCAACGCGGCTCTTTGCACGTGCGAGATTTGGGCCAGTCTTTTTTGAGTTGCTCCCCCAGAATCGCTTGGTTTTCATGGTTCGAATCAACGGGGAACGCCCATTTTGGGGGGTCCCCGGGAACGCGTCTGAGACACAGCCAGTGGCTGAGGCATGCACTACTTTGAGCAGGAAAAGCTTTGGAACCTGCTGGAAGGCATCGGAGCGAGTGGAAGTACCGGGTTATCAAAATTGGTTGGTCTCCTTTTGGTTTCCTGTTCAAACACCCAAAAAGCCCCAAAAAGGAGTCACAGCAAAGAAACTATATGTGGTTGCTAGTTGCTTGTCAGCTGCGCTTTGCAGCAACTTTAGCTGTGCTTGTGTGCAGGCGGGGCTTTATAAGTTGGACCAGAGCACCGAACAGACGCAAACAGTAACATATCAGTTGATGGATAGGCTTTCTTGTCAGCGGAATATTTCTTACGCGACAAAATGATACTGCGCGATGTTGGCATTTTGTGCCGTCCGGAGTCACTTTCTTGGGAAAGCCGGGCGGGCAGAACTGGAGATTGGCTTGGGGGTGGTGGACACCCTCTCAGGAAGGCGTGAAACATGGGGCACTTTCCCACTGGATGTCAAGTTACTTCCTTTCAGCGGGATCCCACCCTACGCTTGAGCCCCAGGCACTGAGCCTTCCGTGCAACACATCGTGGACGTGCTGGTTTGTAGTTAGAGGGAACCCACTGAGAACCCACGCCATGTTTGCGTATTGATTTTGCAGACAGAGCCGACATGCAGATGGTCTTGAGAGCCAACATGCGCGACAACTGCCAGTAGGAGGGCAGCTGTCAAGGATTCAAAGGTTGCTCGCTTTAAAAGGTGAGCTTTGCGAATTCTCATCTACAGTTCAGGACGGTTTGAGTGAATCGCTTGTTTGACAGGTTGTTTCTAGATGTGCTCCAGCAGCACGTTCATCTTTTGTGTAACCGCATCGAGTGATACACATAGCATTCATCATGTTGTTTATGGCAATGCTTCAATTGCACCTGTCAAGCATTTGCAACCTGGAACGTTCGGTGTAAAAAGGTGAACAGGCAGAAAGTGGCGTGGAATGACGGGGACCTGGCTGAAGAGGCTCAAACAGCCCATGCTTGAAGGAATTCTTTGCGATACCTCTGCCATTCTATTGGTCTTCTGTTCTGCCAGGATATGGTAGTTTGGCTGCCACCGGGCTGCTTGGTCAAGTTCAGTTCAGTGTTCAGAGGGGGGCGGTTTCTGCTTGCTGAAAGGCGAGCAATGGAAAGACAATGTTTCTTTGATCATGTAAAGTAAGTTTGTATTCGACTTCATTTGCAGTTCAGTGGAACAGTTTTTTTTCCCTTTTTCCAGCTGGTTCCCTCGAGAACGGATTGGCATGGTGCTCCTGTGTCCCCATGGCCATTGGCCAAATGCGTTTTGCTGAAGCAGGAAGTGTGTCAGGGTGCCGCTTTGAGCTGCAGAAACAAGTAATTCTTACAGCCCACTGGTGTACGCGTGTGGAAAAAGCCCACATTGGAGATCAGACATTTGCTGAGAGTGAGGGGGGGAGAGCGTGGGCGGGTGATGTAGACATGTCAGCAGAGTATGAGAAGCCACGATTCTACAGATGAGTTCGCCTTGGATTCTTAGGCCATTGAAGTGTGCTGAATGTGGACTTTTGGCAGACCAGGCAATTGTTTTCTCTGGAGGCTTCAGCTCACAATGTTTTTTGTTGCCTCCATTGAACACAGTTTTCCAGGCACCTGCCTTAGTTGTGCAAACCTTGTGAGTCGTGCTCCTTCCAGTGGTTGTGGCTCAGGATGACGGACACACGCAAAGAAACTTACATTCTGAGACACTTATATACCGGATGCAACATTTACAGCCATTGGCCGATGTTTCCTTCGGTTTGGACGAACACGTTTGATCGGAAATGCTTTGGACTCCAGCAGTGACAGGTTGGAGGTGATCCCACAAGTGACCTTTAGAAGCATAGGTGTCCTTTTGGTTGATTTGGTTTAAAATGGAGGGCCCTGGTTTACCTGGTGGTTCAATCAACTACCAGGGTATACCAGGGCCATCTATATTCCCAAAAGGACCCCTATGTTTAGAAGGGTTTTGTTCTGTTTGTCCGCAGCTTCCATGCATGCTGCGTTTTTTGTGCGTCATCCACTGCATGTGGTCACGGTTTTGAGAGGTTTCCCAACTGTTGCAAGCACATCCGCCTCAGAGCATCTCACAATTGTCGCCCACATGTTCTTTTTATTCTGCTTGCAAAGTCAAACCAAGATTCCTCACGTCAGGGTTTCAAGTTGTAGAAACACGCGTGTCCAATTGTGTATCTGATCAGCTAACAAGTTGCCCTTGGAATACAGGTGGACCTGTCTCAACATGAGAACCTAAACACCTCTTTGGCTCCAGAAGAGCAGCAAAAGGATGCCAACTGCCGACCATTCCGAGCAAAAATCTGTCTTTTTGAGGCACGATCTTTCCCCAGATAGCTGAAAGCTAGAGGGGTTCTAACTTCTAATAAAGAAGGGAAAGTGATTTGCGAGATTGACAGCTGGGTGCTAGGGGGCGTGCAGTTTGGGTGCTTGTGTAGGTGCTGTTTGGGGTGCTGTTTGGCACATGGGATGCTGTTTGGGGTGCTGTTTGAGGTGCTGGTGATGGCGCGGGCGCATTTTTGCGAGATTGACGGTCGGGTGCTCTGGGAGTGCTAGCTATTTGAGGGTGCTGTTCGGAGTGATGGTGCGGGCGCACTTCTGCGGTTGATATCCGGGGGGTCTTTGCTGTTTGGGGTGTTGGTTGAGGTGCTCTTGGTGCAGTGCTGTTAGAGGTGCTACCGTGCAATCGTTGGCATTTGCTTCGCTATCTGGGGTCTATGCTGGTGTAATTTGGTTTGTTTAGATACTTGGTCTTTCTTGCCCAGAGACTGAGGGCTGCCAGGAAGTTGATAGACTATGCCACAGTCAATTCACATCGTGGTTTGCTTGGCATGAGGTGTCTGCGTTGGCCAGCGGGTTTCCAAGGCCCAAACTGCCGCAAATCAAAGGCTGAATATAGAGACCCATACAGAAAATGAACCACTGGTGTCAACCTGCCACCAAAGGGGCCGGAAAAGACTATGGGTTCCTGCCCCACCGGGTTGCATTTGAGGGCTTTACACGTTTTGTTTGGCCTTATCCTTTAGAACTTCCGGCTTGGGTGATTTGAAATTCCTCAGCCCATTTCCCCCGCCTTACCCCGTGCTTCGCTGGAAGATCAAGGCCCAACCAATCTATGGAGCTGCAGGGCAACCAGAAGAAGGGCTTCAAGTTCTATGCCGGGGCCTTTGGAGCTCTTAGATGTCACGGTGGGTCAGTTTGCGCAAATTGTGTGGAGTTGAAGATAGGTTTACTCCAGCGACCAATCTATATATATATATATTATTATGTAGGTGTTCTTCACCATATCCCTGAGTGATGGCACAATGCTTCCAAATTTGTGATACTCGCTTTCATCCGTAGTTGTTTTCATGCAACAGGCCTATCTCTTGACTAACTATGTCTTGTTTCTTTTCAACACCGTGTTTGCTACGTCTTTTAGTTTCGTGTTTGTTTCTGTTTGATTATCGTTTATTGTTATCTTGTTCTTTTCCCAATGTTCATGTCTTGGATGCTTTTCCAGTGTCATCCATCGAATTGTCCAAAACGACACCTATGCTACTCACCGCTCAAAGCAGTTAAACACAAGTTCACGAGATTCCGGCAGTCACAGAGATATACGTTTTGTTTGCCATTTTTCACGGGTCTTGCAAAGGAAACATCAATGCGATCTGGCAAAAGATACGGAAGCTCTTGCAAAGATGCATTCTCAGCAACACTCAAGGGGTCTGACTTGGCATCTCTTTGCTGGCAAGGCCCCCCAAAGTCCATGCACAATTTGAGTTGCGAATCTTCAAGCGGGGATAGCTGTTTTGTTGGAAATCCCTTCACGTTGATTTGTTCGCAGCGACAGGGGCAAGTCAACAGAGGCTTGTTTTGACCGCACATTTCAACAATGAGGCCTCAGAGACTGATTTGGGGCCCTTGACAGCCCAAGCTTTGGTTGGCTTGCGAAGTTGTTTTCTTGGGGCAAGCAGACAACTTGCAGAAACTCGCTGCCGCAGCATTGATGTTTGGATTCAACAAACACACCAGCATACTTGGTAGGGCTTCCATTAAAGATGCCGCGGAGTTTCTGCCGTCGGTAGCACCACATGCAGCAATGTCCCTTGAGCATGTTGCTGGCCATGTGACTGGCAACAAAATCCGTCGTTTTGGGCCTTGAGCTCGGACGGTTCGAGCATGTGATGAGTGTCAGGGTCGTTGACATGCCGTGTTCTTGCTGTTGCTAGTATATCCTCTTCAGATACGCTGAGAAAGCGATCACATTGTAATATGGAAATTTGCCGGGCCTGGCGCTGGGCTGCCAACGTACGGGATCCAAAGAGGAATCCTTGACAATATTTGTGCGGCCAAAGGGAGGGGTCTCCAAGGCTAACATGGATCACCAAACGTCCTTCAGGCGATGCTCACGGACTTGGACTGGCTTGGGCACAACCTCAACGACAAGAAGTTTAAGGATCCGGAGGTGCCTCGTCAAAGAAGGTCGCATGCAAAGTGTGTGCTTTGGCACAGGTCTCGATTTCCTTGTGTGTTCTTGGTCTGTTTGGGCTGTTGCGTGTTTGGCCGACGAACAGATTCAGAAAGTCTCATGCATTGGTGGAACAAACGTATTGTTGGATATATTAGGCAGATTACATACTCACATGGCATACTCACATTGCACCGCATGCAACAAACAAAGTCAGATGACGTTGATGGGATGTGGACTTTTCTCTTTGGTCCGGTGGATGTCCGCCTTGTCATGACGCTTGCTTTGCTTTGGCGCATGATGCTGTGGTGAGTGGCAATAGTGACCGATAGAGATAGCTGACATTTGGGTTGGGCTTTTCGTGTTTTAATGTGGCTGTGGGTCAAAACCAATGGTACCATTTTGGGGTAGGTGCACCACCCATTTTAGTCTATTTTAGTGGGGATTGCGATGTTCACTGGGGGTACGATTTGGATTTTGACCCATTGCCATGTTTCGTTTGTCATTCTTTGATATGCATCGTCATTCGGACATCCGTCGCTTCCTCGGGGTGCAGGACCTCGGCCATCAAGACGAATGACTGTGTTGTGTGATTCGGCGCCAGCGCTTCTTACTCTAGACACCTCAAAATGGGCTTCCCACCAGGATCGTCCCCTGCAACAAATGAGAGCTTTTTTGGGTTCCATGTGAATTTGCACAGACCAATCTGAGGTGCCTCAAGAGAAGGGCTACGTCTGGTTCACAGTGGAGGAGACCATCCAGGCATCGGCCACTTCGCCTATGGCCGTCGGCAAGGCTGCCACTTGGCTGACTTGACCTGCATCACCGCAAGTGATCTGTGTCTTTCTTAGCATCATAGTTTAACCCCTTCCCGACTTTCCGATGGGAATGACTTTTTCTATATAGGCCCTGGCGTAGAAGCTTATGCCTTTCAGCAGTGCTTGTAGTATTTGCTGCTGTGACTGCTGTCGCTTTGCTTTCATCAGTCGCTGGTGCAGCTGAGAACCTGTTTGCCTTATTGCTCTTCTTGCTTCTGTGCAATCTCGCTCCTCCTCCTCCTCCTCCTCCTCCTTCTCCTCCTCCTCCTCCTCCTCCTCCTCCTCCTCTCTCGGTGCTTATCCTGCTATACCCGAGGCTGATCGTACTTCTCGAAGCTTTCCGTTTCTTTGTGTGTGTCTTTCTGTTTACCCTTCTTGACCTCTTTTTCCTTTCCTGCTCCTGATGCAGTTGCTGCTGCAAATGTTCTACTGAACGTATAGGATTGCCAATTTGCTATTTCATTTAGTATTTCTTGGCATCCTGTTTTGACTCGCCCCGGTCGACACGTCAAAGCAGTACAACTTCTTGAGATTTGCCTTCCACAGGAATCAAACGTTGAGGTCATAGATGATACCCGTCGCCCTCTTCGACATGTTGAAACACCATTGCACCGGGTGAAAGGTAGATGATGTTCAATTCCCAATCCAGGTCCAGACGCATCTGCTCTTGGCACTGCGGCAAGTTCGGATACGTCGATTTAGATCAGCATTGTTTCAAGTCCGGGTTCTGTGGGGAAACTGGAGAGTGCTGTTCTATCCCGCCTCTGCGAAAAGCAGATTGGTGGGAAGCTTTCTTCCAGCAGTGTCAACTCTGTCAGCACGAAACCATGTTTGACCGTAGCAAGCAATGCCTGCAAAGCATCACGTTCTGAGAGGCCACGCGGCGTCCCTTTCCGACAGTCCTACTATTTGATTCTGCGTCCTAGAAACCACAGAGTTTACACCTTCTACGCCAATCTTGCGAACCGTCACAAGCTGAGGTGCGTATCAAGCTGCTGGACGAGGGCATCGTGCCGGCTTGGCTGGACCTGCATTACATGCAGGTCTTCGCAGGCGGAACCTTCTTCGGATGTCCGGGGCTCCGGTATGGGGCAAGCCATGAAGGGGCTCATAATGATCCAGGAACAACTTAAACCAAAGTCTTGACATGTTGTGTTTTAGCCTTGAGCCGATTGAGGGGGGTTTCTGTTGTGTCCTTGCTTGCAATTGTTCAGAGAATCAGCCGCATCCGTATCCTGGGCAGAGCGTTGTTTCAGCAAAAGCTGCAGCCTGCCCATTGAGGCGCAGGACAGCTAAGCTGTAAGGCATGCCTTCTTCGACCCTAAGATAAGAGGAAAAGCGCCCTGCGCTCCACCCTGCCCACCACCCACACAATAAATACATGTACACATAAATATAAATAAATAAATAGATAATATATATATATATACATATATATATATACATATATATATATATACATATTCGCACCTGAACTGAAAGCTTCTTCCCTGATTCTCGCCTTAGCTGCCTTCCCTCGGGCCTCTTCACTGAGGCTTCAGCCGCCCTCATAAACCCAGCCAGCCAGCGAGCTCACCGGCGAGCCAAGCAGCCATTCAGCCAAACATCGAAACCTCTCGCAGCAAAGCGCCACAACGACATGTGTCAAACTGAAGAACGAACTGCTTGTACTTGGCTTTTTTGTGGACCTGGGTGGACACGCTCCACGATGCTTGCTTGCAAATGATATGTTGCATGTGTAAGATGCTTTGAACCAATGCATGGCTTGGTAACCCTGAGCAAGCCTGCATTTTGACACTCGCAATGCTGCCAAATCGAGGCAGTGCAAGTGGGATGCATCCAGTACTCCTCAAGGCACGCCAATCTATCTCTCTAGGCCCCGAAGGTCTTGTCATATGGCTATGACCTTCAATGGTTGCAACATCCCTCAAAGATGGATGGGGGGCGTAAGTCCTCATGCAAATGAAAGGATCCTTCCAATCAGAACTCATATCCAGCTGTAGAAAGGACATAAAATCCCCTGTTGGTGCTGAAGGAAAACCCACAAACCCTTGAACGATTCAAAGAAAAAGACCAGGGTTGGAGACCTCACCAGGCGGTGTGCCGCTGGGCTACATGAGCGAGGCAGAGGTGGACCCTGAAGCTGAAGTTGGCTTGCCAGAGGCCGGCCCGGCGAGTCTTCCTTTTCCTTCTTTTTTTTTTTTGGGGGGGGGAATGGCCTCATCCATGTTGGTTGACCAGAAAGCTGAACTTCTTGTAAACGCTTCGCGTTGCCCGAATGCGTTTGGCGTTGAGGAGCTGTGTTTTGGCTTGCCTTGAAGTGTGGTGTTTGAGTGAGTGAGTCGGCCCCGAAAATTTGCCGCAGTCAGAGAAGGGCAGCACACTGGAAGCGCAGATGTGAGGAATTTCACCGGTTTCCCGGGGCCGGTTTTTGAGAGAGGGGATTTGATTGGCTTCTAGAGGGGAATTTGAGCGGCGGAGTGTGACCGGTGTGGGGTTTTGTCTGGGTTCTCCTGCGATTTGACCAGACCGGAGCGGTTATCGAGGGGCTTTGATTGGTTTTTAGAGTAGAGGGGCATTTTCTAGGGGGGATTGGACGGGTTTCTGGGGGGATTTGACGGCTCAGGATCGAGATTTGCCGGAGTTGGGCCGGTTGGGGATTTGATTGCTTTCATGAAAAATTGGTGGGTCCCTTTCATGGACATCAGAAGGACAAGGTTGATGTATGTCCGCCAACCCTTTTTTGTGGGTATTCTGTGTTTTTTTTTTTTTTTTTTTCCGATTTATGGGGTCCGAGCCGAAACCTTCTACACAATTACAAACCGCGGCCATGAACATCCTTTGGTTTGCCGTTGATATCTTCGATTGTAGGCTTGTTGTTCTCAGAACAGACCTCTTGCAAGGGATTCTCGGGACACACCGCTCCTCCAATGCAGTCCGGCATAAATGTTTGCCTTTTCGACAGCAGCGAGTTGTGCCTCTTGTGAACGGAACTCAAATTGAAGGCTGCTTCCCCAAATATATCTGGAAAGAGGCATATCTTCCATGGGGTTCTCTCAAATTAAAGCGTTCAATCCAGCCTTGGGGATTGCTATTGAAAGTCGATCCGGCAATCCTGTGGGCGATTCTGTTGGAAGATATACTTCTCGATAGTGAAACTCCAGCTTGTACCCCCGCCCATATGTCAACCTTCCAGTTCCAAGAAACATACGGGTTCCTGCCGCGCGCAGATATTTTCCAGGCGATTTCACAGAAGGGATACCAGTAGAGGGTGGCAGATTGAGAGAGCCGCCACGCAACCTGCAATAGCCAGGCAGCCTTGGGCAGCGGCAAGGCGCGGATTCTGCATCGCTTTGATGAAGTTGGGAGCCAGGCTAAGGCAGCATCAAGTTGAGTGAGCTCGTTGCACCCGGGTCAGAAGCTTCCTTGTTGTATATGTTTTTGTGCCACTTTTGAAAGCAACTGAAGCAAGACCAAAGATACTGACATTACGCGTGATGTTGTTATTATCATAGTTATTATCATTATTAGTAAGCATATATTACAAACATATAATTATTGTACGTATTGTCGTGATTTGCACATATCTGCGCTCATTTTGAAAGAGCGACTGTTGATGGGATGGAGCCATCAGGCTGCCAATGCAGTAGCAGCCAGAGCAAGAGACATGGAGCGTTGGCAGTTGGTGAATCCGAGCTTGCAGGATGCCTTTGGTTGCTCTGGGGTCACAACACGCCAGCGGCACATGTTGCCACCAGTTGTCCCCTCGGGATGAACTGCGACAACATGTCATTGGAGCTTCCCTGTGTTTGCCGGCAGGTGCAGGTGTTGCGGACGCCGGCGCACCGGCGGGTGATTGTGGAGAACCAATGCAGCCGCATCGTTTTCAAGGACAGAATTGGGATGTTTCCCTTAAAACAGCAGGAAACGTGGGAATGAACCCAGGCTTTGGTCCCCTTAAAGGAAACCACCAGTTGGATGGTTCTAGGGGTCATTCCATTTCTCATTCCCTGCATCTCTCGCACCGGATATTTTTAGCGCGATCTTAAGGCTTTTTGCCCAGCTGGCTCAGCACTTGCAGGACCCGATGGACAGCCAGGCGAATGACCTCGTGGACATGGGTGGATGCCTCAATGGGTGGTCTCCTGAAAATCAGGAATTCCTCGAGGTGGGTTCCCATCTTGGTTCCCTCCACAACAACCCCAGAAAGGATACCATCAACAAGAAGCCGGGGGTATGAATCGTAAGCGGCAAACATTTGGTGGACACAATCTAGGTGGGGGGTTATGTCCACCGATCATTATTGAGGATTCCCCGCGATATAGCCGTGCCTTGTCCAACGGAGCTGTGAACCTGTGTGTTCCGTCCAAGCCTGGCCTGCACGAATACTTCAACTCATGCCAAAGGTACGTGCAACAAAGCTGTCCGTCTTGACTTTCTGGGACATGCGTCAGGAGAATGTTCGTTTGGCCCAGGTTTGTAAGCCAGCCTTGTGACAAGAAAGCAACATATATCTGGCACTGGAGAAAGAACCTCTTGCTTGCTTTACATGCTGCTGTACAAGATCTAAATGCGATGAGGATTTCAAAAGGGGACACAGCAGCCGGATTTGTCCTAGGAGAATGTCCTTCAGCCAGCTGAAGCGATGCACAGTTCTTTGTTGTGGTATGATGTTGCTCGGGGGGGGGCCGAACTAGCTTGTAGGAAACTTGGTCCGGGGGAATGGTAGCCTTGCTTGCGACTGTTATGCTACAGGCTGGGCGATCTTTGACTCCTGCTACAAAGGCCAGGTCAGGATTGGTGGGGCAGCTCTGATTTGCGCGGTCCACAAGATCGACGAAAAAAGCATAGCTGTTCTGGCCTACACAGTTACACAGCTTGGCATGTTGTCAGGCTTCAGTTGGATGATTTATCAGTTACTCGGGTAAGCCTTGGGAGCACTGTTGCGTCGATCCTTTTTCCTGCTTTTAGAAAAGGGCAATTGCCACATGGACAAGGTGATGGCGTGTATCAGAGAGACTACTCCTTGGCCTTGGCATCGGAACCCAACCATGCTGACCTATCATGGTCCAGAGTCAGTCCCACTGAGTGCAAGATTGGCTTGCGTGCTTTGAGAGTTCTCAATGACTAGACCTAGGGACCCGACACCTTGCCGGAATTCCTAAATTTCAAGGTATACCCCTGTAAGGAATAGGATGGCTGCAATCCATTGGTTGCTGTACCTTGCATGCCGAAAAGGTCAGCTCAGCCTGTACTTTGGCCTTTTGTTTCAAATCAGGTTTGTAAGCCACAGCGATTATGCTTGGATGCTTGGTGAATTCTGGATGCGTCACTCGTATTCTCCAGACCTATTTGGGGGCTGTTACACATTCGGTCTCTTTTTGGGCCCCGACCAGCCTGCAGGCCTTGCGCCCTTGCGCCCTTGCGCCCTTGCGCCCTTGCGCCCTTGCGCCCTTGCGCCCTTGCGCCCTTGCGCCCTTGCGCCCTTGCGCCCTTGCGCCCTTGCGCCTGCGGTGCGTTAATCCCGTTGCGAATCGCGAAGGCGCCACGATTCGCCTTGGCCCATTCCCCGGCAAGTGGTCGGAGGACCGGGCTGGGGGCTCACTCCAGATTAGACGAGATTGAGGCAACCAGTCCAAGAGTCGGAGAAGCGAAGAGTTCGGTTATAACCGGCGAAGAGAAAAGAGTTCAGCTTTAGGAGCCCGAGGGAGACCACGGCATGGTCGACTTCAAGGCTCGGAAAGGGGGGAGGGACTGTGAGCAACTTGCAGGCTTCTTGGTAGTCTACTGTTGGTTTGGGCAGGCAAACTGCCCACAAAACTGGGCAAGGCACCTAATTTTCTCGTGTCCTTTTGGGGAAATACGTAGAATTCTCCGGGACTCATGTCCTGTTTCTTGTTGACACATTCAAAGCAGAGCAGTGGCACGTTCAAAGTAGAGAAGGCAGCTGAGGAAGGAAGGGTTGCTGGTTGCACAGCCAGCAAAGACCTGGTTGCTTCAAGCACCTAGCACCCATTCTCCCCTTGGATGGAAAACACCTTGCAGCAGCGTTAGGCACAGACTTTGATTCTGAGGGACCACACGTGGTACAGCTCGGAGGTACCTGCCCTATACCCGTCTTGTTCTGCTAGGGGCCATAAAAGCAGTCCTGGGGACAGTTTTCAGGTATTGGGACCCAGAAAGGTTCTCTGAGAGCCCTAGGTCTTTGCTTTCCCCCCTTTCAATTTGCTCGGCAACCGTGGGCATCTCCCATGCGCTTCCTTGTGCCTTTTTTGATCACTTGTCTCAGGGTAGCTTCCCCATTCTTTCCAGGGATCCTGCTTTCCAGAAAACCACCAAATTCCCCGGGAAATGGCCTGTTTTGCAAAGAACGATGGCTGAAAAGAATGGAAAAGGAATCAACCCCTAGAACGTGTTCCTTCGAATTCGGCGAAACTCAGACCAAATCGGGCGCCAAACCTCCCCAAATCGGAGCAACGGACTTGCCCGCTCGCCATCCGTCAGGCAGCCGGGCCTCCGCCTCTCTGCCACGGGGAGCATAAGGCGGGGCTGTCGTCATGCAATCGGATTGTGTGGATCAACTCAAGCGATCGCTAGTGGCTTAGACTTTTTA